CACCATCCACCCTTAAGAACTTCAATTTCAGGGTTAAAGGTGAGTTTCAAAACCCTAGTTTTTCTGATTTTTAGTTAAAAGAGAAATCATAAGTGGTTATGTGTGAAAGTAGAAAGGTGAAACTTTGGAGCCAAGGAGGAGTACCTTTGTGCTTTGAATACTAAGGTAAGGAAAAAAAATCTCCCTTATGACTACAATGATAACACTAGGGTTTATGAAACTTACATTATTTTATGTTAAGAGTGTGATGCTATGTTTTGGTTATGAGTTGTTTAAATGGGTGGGTTGATTGGTGTATGTGTGCATATGGAGGATGATTATGCCAATTAGAGATTTGTAGTTGGACGATGTTTTGGCACTTTTTGGTTCTGTAAAAGGGAGGGTTTTATGGCCTTTTATACTTAGAAGATATGACAAATAATATGAATGTGCAAATGAAGGTGACATGGTTAAATGAATAGAATTCGGATTTGGCTTGTTAAGATTATACTGTACATGCTTCACTGAATCGTCATAATGAGGTTATAGAAGTCCGATTAAGTTGATTCTTGAAGTTAAAAATTTGAGAAACAGACCTAAAACTTATGGTTTAGCCAAGAACCAATTCGAATTGGAAGATAAGGAAAAAGTTGCTTGAAAATGACGAACTGTATGGCATCATTTCTTAATGGAAATTCCCATTTGTTTCTAATTCTAATAAACCCTTGAATAATCTTACTACTGGAATTCCTTGTACTGTATGAGAAATTGAATGAATTAAGTTAAGAAGTTTAGTAGGAGATATAGTATGATGAGCATGGGATATGTTAGCCATATGTTGCATCATAATGGTAATGCATATAGCTTATTTAGTTGTCTTATGAAAAATTATAAATGTTAAAGAATGAATTCCATGAGTCTCTTGAGGTATAAAACAAGATCAGAGGAATGGAATTCTATGGAAACCATGAGTCCTTTGAGGTGACGACCAAGAACAAGGTAATGGTTCAAATGATCCGATCGGATAACAAAGACTAATGAATCGTCAAGTATATAGACAAAAACAAATAAGCATGCCCTGTACATGAATATTTCATAAGTCATTTATGTTCTTATATTATGTATGGTTATGTTATGACTTATGTTTTTGAGAAAAGTCCAAAATGTATGATATGTTTTATGAACTTGTTATGTCAAAGAATGAAGGTCATGTTTGTAGGTAGGTAAAGTCCTAAGTAATATACTTGTATAATAACCTTAATAGTTTATAAATGACCATATTCCACTGAGCGATTAGCACTCACCCCACGAAATGTTGTAAAATGTTTTGCAGGTACGGTTAAGGCATGAAGTTGGGAGGGATTTCAAGGGACGCTCTGAGCATGAGGGGATGCTTTAATGATGACTATTGAATGGTTTTGCTAATATTTAGTGTAGTAATTATGTTCATATTTCATAATGTAGTATTATGTCCATGTTCTATAATGGTGTAAATATGTTGTATTAATAAAGGAAATCAAATTGCTAGTACAGTTTATAAAGTGTGTATGTTCTAGTAAGTGTTACTATGGATTTCATAATTTACTCCAAAAAGGAAACTATATTTTTTTATTATACAATGAACTTATTATGGTTAAGAAAAAAAAATTAACACATATATCTATATAATATGTTTCACAACAAGTTTATTCTTTAAATAGGATTTTAAATAAACTTCTTTCTAGGCGTGCGTTTTCTAGGTTCTCAATGGCCAAGGGATACTTAGGAAATACCCGGCTAGGGGGGGTTTTACATTATGTGTTATATGATGCATGCAATGATGGCTTGGATTCCATGTGTTTATGAATTTTAGTGCGACCGAAATTATGCATGTAGTGGTGGCTGGTTTTATATGCGTTTATGGGTTGCATTTTGTGAATAAAAGCAGAATTGGAGGCTGGAATTACATGGTTCTGGATTGCATTTTTGGCAAAAAATGCAGTCCAGAAACATGTAATTCCAGCCTCCAATTCATGGTTATGGACTGCATTTTTGGCCAAATTATGCAGGTAAAGGTGGCTGAGATTTGGCCAAAAATGTAATCCAGAACCATGTAATTCCAGCCTCCAATTCATGGTTCTGGACTCATTTTGGCCAAATTATACAGGTAAAGGTGGCTGGGATTTTATAATTGGCCAAAAATGCAGTCCAGAACCATGTAATTCCAGCCTCCAATTCATGCTTTTATTCAACAAAATGCAAACCATAAACGCATATAAAACCAACCACACTACATGTATAATTTCGGTCGACATTAAATTCATAAACCATGGAATCCAAGCCATCATTGCATACATCATATAAAACATAACCAAAAAATCGCATTCAAATAAAACTCCATTAAAACAAGATGAGATTTAAAAAATATCAAGTGCTGGAGCATCCAGTAAGAACTGTAAAAGTGGTGTACGTATCACAAGGGATGAACAGAAAATTAATTACAAAAAATGCATTAGTCAAGGAATACAGTTATGGAATATGGTGTACTAAGTTGGGTTAAGAAAAGCGAAAGAAGATATAATGAGAAGCGTAGATTAATTTAGCATTTATCCAAAACCTACTGTGCACAGTTGATTCAAAATGTAGGTCAGATCAGCAAAGATGCCCATTATAGGTGATGGAGATGAGAATCTTAACAAAGTAAGAAGGTGGACTCTAAAACGAGGAGAACAGAATGTAACTTTCTTTGAAGGTCTCAAACAAACTGAATAATTTAAATTATTAAGAGTTTATTCAACTCGTCTTCCTTGTTTGAGTGTCTGCACTGCACAGCCACAGCCACAGCCACAGCCTAGCCCCAGCCCCAGCCATAGACTTTCTTTTCTTTTATTAGCTTTATCACAATGAAGTTAGGAATTTGAATGAGAAATAAGAGCATATAATTAAACCAAGAAAAAGTAAGCGTTATGAGAACCATAAGTAAGTCTTTTCTATTATTTTCTTCCTCCACTTTTCCTATGGCAAAGTATGTGTTTCTTTACTAAATGACCAACGTCCCAATTCCTATAGCATGGGCCCCTTCCTGTTTGGAATTATGGGCTCATGACCTCTCTCTTTCTTTCTTGTCTATATCAATCGCAACAAATAGTCTCAGTTATTCAAGTTAAACAAGGCATAACAACATTTCAATCATTTATTTTTCCCTTTCAATTGATCCCATACATGTATATATATTCTGCCACCCAATTAAGTTGTCGAATAGGAAAAATGAATTCTAATTTCCTATTTATGTACAATAAGCCTAGCAGCAAAAAAACAAGGATTCCTCCCTCTTCACAGCACCCCTCACAATGTGGCAGCTTGAGGTCTCCCCTGAACACATAAGACCCAATAAATATATCTATCTATTAATAATCAACTATATAAAATATGAAACCCACACACCCCAGGAAGCTGTGACCTATGACATTGTTCTGATGTTTATAATATACAAAAGCTCGATTGGTTAGTTTCAACAACTCATGATAAATGAAAAGATCCCTGCCCTTCACTGATTGCATATAGCAGTTTCTTCTAAAACACCCAAAAAAGAACACTTCTATTTATCAATCACACAAACCAGTCCCATCAAATCAACTCCATTCAACACAAATGTAAATCCAACACATTCTTCCAACATTATAAAAAAAATAAAAAAAAAATAAAAAAAATTGAAAAACGGAAGTGTCTAATTACCGCGGCTGATTTGTTTTTTGAGATGAAGAAGACGATGAACCAGAGTGGCAGATGAGATGAAGAACTTGATGAACCAGAGCGTAGATGGAAGAAAGAAGAAGAAGACCGCTGCCCTTTTTTTGTTTTTTCAAACGCTTTCCCCAAAAGTTTTAAATAAACCTAAAACTTTTTTAATTCTAATTTTTTATTTTAATTAGAGGTGGGACGGGCGTCCAAATTTTTTTTTTTAAATTTTTAAACCAAATTATGGACGGGAGTCCATTCTATACGGACGCCCGTCCACACATTAGGGACGCTCGGCGTCCTAGATTTTTTTAAAATTTTTATATTTTATAAAAAGGATGGGCATCCATTATTTAATGGACGCCCGTCCAAAATTAAAGGATGGGTGTCCATTAACATATGAACGCCTATCCAATGTGTATGGACGGCCATTCATGACCTGTGAACGGCCATCCCTAATTTTTTTTAATATTTTTTATTTGTATTTAGCAATGGACGGGCGTCCTCTAAATCAGGACGCCCATCCGTAGTAAATGGACCCCCGTCCATATAATATGGACGGGGGTCTATATTAGTGAACGGCCGTCCATATGTTATGGACGGCCGTTCATTAGATAAAATTTAATAACGCTAAAACACGTTGGATGGTTCAGTTAGCACACACGTCAGCCGGTACAAAATTTCGGTGTAAAAACACCAGTGTCTATAACACGGTTGTTCTGATCTTTCGGTAGAGAGATCAACATCCAAGCTACGAATGAACCAAGACAGGTGTCCTTAGTGCACACTGTATAGTATCAGGGAAGAGGAGTTTCATAAGAAAAATAAAATCGTGCAAAGTTAATATTACGTAGCCATAATCATAAATAAGGCTATGAATAATGAAGCAGTGTATGTAAAATGTATAGAACTTCATGAATTAACTATGAATGAACCAAAAGACAAGCTCAATTGCTCATATACAATAGTGTCTATATGCCTGTCAAACAAAAACTAAAGGATCTAAATCAATTTACAAAAAATGTGTATGAGAATGAGCAAAGATCTGTTAGCTTTCTCTCAAGTGAGGATTCTATTCATGACTGCCAAAAATCCTACATGTTCTAAAATTTGAGTGAGTGGCCTTAAAACAAACATAGTGTGCTCAAAAATAGCACGGGAAAAATAACCATCCTAATCAAACAAAGGAATAATGTGCTCATAAATCCTCTAAGATATAGTAAAATCCCCGTCACATAACAAGTAATGCAATTTCTATACACCTGAAGTAAAAATATATCACAAAAATAAACAACAAAGAAAAGCTAGCAAGAGGTGAACTTTTCATGATAGAAAAAATTATCTGAACAAAGCAGGAGGCACACCGGGGCAGTTGCAACAGCTTCTTCTGCTTGTTTGAGTCGTACAAGTACTTCACCTGTGGTTTGTACAGCTTTAGCAGTATCCCGCAATTGATCTTGAAGCCCTTTATTCTCATCCCTGAGATATCTCCTCTCTTTCTCTTTTTCAGCTTTCAATGCTGAAATTTCAGCTGCAAGAGCATTTATGAACTTAGATTCAGCACCCATTACTCCTGTTCTAGTAGCCGCTTTCTTAACATCATCTATTCCTTCCTGAATCTTTCTATGCCTTGCAAGCAATTGAATATGCTTTTCCTAAAGATCTGCATATCGTTCTAGCATGCATGCATGTCCCTCCATAGCCATCTGCATTGCTTCCTTCAACTCTTCTGTACATTGCTTTTCAGCATCAAGTTCCTGTTTTTGCTTTTCTGCTAAGGACCTGCTAGCTTCAAGTTTGATCCTCAATTCTTCTGCAAGAGATATTCACTTGCTCTCTACCTCAGTCCAGTGGATTCTTTCCCATTCAAGTTTCTCCTCAGCACTATTTTCGGTTGACTTTGGGATTGTAGTCAGAGGTGGTGCTAGATTGGGATCACATGAATAAGTCAATTGCAAAATTGAGTTTTGTTTTCGAGCAGATAATGAAGAAGAGTCTATATAATATTGTAACTCGCTTCTTAAATCTTGAATCCCTTCCAAAAACACTTCCCTTTCATCCACATCACAGAAATTCCGATAATGTTCCAGTTGCTCTTGAACTATATTGAGTTCAATTTTTGTCCTTAAAATTTCAGGATGATTCTCAATTTTTTCCTTCAGAAGCTGTAAAAAATAAGGTCAGATATATGCACAAAATATTAACTAATGTTATCTTTAGAAATAAATTTATACTTTGGTAAGTAAGTAACCATTCTACCTCAATGCTTAAGTTCATAAGTAACAACCTAATAAAAGTATTTAAAAGCTACAATAATACCCGTCACGTATCTCATAGTGAAATGGATGCAAACACAGATGCAAACTAAACAAATATACAATTACATATGAAAAATGAAAACAAGTGAAACTTGTAGGGATTTGAAAGTGAGTGTTTAGCTTTACTACTATGTTAAGTAGATTTGTAACCAAAAACTTAGGCTAATATATTTTTTAGCTCTAACATACCTTATGCTCATGCATGTGGCCTACAAATTCTTCTTCCATGAACTTCTCAGTTGGCAAAACACCATCAATAAGGCTTTTAAGGCGCAGAATTTTATCTTCCCTTGTCTGTCCTATAATGGCATTGCATTCTCTCTCATGCTTGTATTGTTGCACCTGCAAAGAAAAGTAGAAAAATGTCACCAATGAAAAAACAAAAAAAGAAGAAAAAGAAAGCATTATATAGCCATTGCTATTTGTTGGTAAAACTAGTAAAAAAACATACCAAACGATTAAGGTGCTTAATTTCAGAAGTTTGCTTGGCACAGAAGTCCTCTAGTGCCATTTCCCTCCTAATGGCTCCTGCGAAAACCTTCTCCACTGCCTGAGCAAAAAAGAAACATGTAAATGCAAGCAGTCATGATGTTAAATTAATCCAAAATGTAGCTGAAATCATTATACTTACTCTTGGAACTGAAGATTGCTTCATGGACTTGTCCGTAGAGTGTGAGTCAACAAAAGGTACCAATTGAAGATTTGAGCTCTCATTCCCCTCTTTGACCTCTAGCTGCATTCTGTTCTTGCAATGGTTACATAAGGGTAATTATGTATCTTCTTTTGGCATCTCACCATTTTGAGAAGTTTGCACACCGATGTCGACTTTGGCAATGGGCAAAACTGGTTTAAAATCAGTGGGTCTTAATGAGAACCTGAATGATGATCGCCTCAATCCTGAACTCCGGTGGTGGCTATCAATAATTTCAAGGACACGATGGAGGCTAGCTGCCAGGTGTTCAGTTGTTGCAACAAAATTTCTTCTTGTTTGAATGAAATGGACTTTTAAGAAAACATATCCACAGCATCTAGCTCAGACTTGTTGTCATCATTCAGATCTTTCTGGGATGCACTTAGCATTGATGATGTCCTCAGGCTTTTCCTGCTATTGTTAATTCTAGGTGAAACACTTGGAGTTGGAGACTTAAGAACTGGAGATCCATCAGTTCGAACTATGCTGAGACAAGAAGGACACACAGAAATCACAGATCAATTTCCAGATTCACCATGCATATCGTCTCCTGAAATTTATCTGGAAAAACCAGCCAAAGGATCAGAGATTGGGCATGAAGATCCATGTCTCACTGAATTCCTTAGTGATCTTTTGTCTGGCAATCCACTGACAGAAGAGCTGAGCCTTTTTCTCCTCGGGAGGCTGCACAGAGGAGTCCCGAACATGTGAATCAGCAATTAAACTGTTTGAATTTCCTTCATCATTTTGTTCCTTGGTAGTATGATTTATGAAAATACAATTCATTAATAACTGCCTTGTTCTTATTTGCCTTGGCACGCTGAGCAAATCTCAGTGTAGTCAATGTTTCACTCTTGCAACTGCATTATTGACTTATCTGAGCTTCCACAAATGGAGGAAAATACAAAAATAGGGAGAGCAAGAGAAAAAAGGTTTCTTCTATTGACACAAAATCTGCAGTATTACCTCTGCACAGGAGAAACAGCATAGATCATTGTTAATTTTGCATTGCCACCAAGAGATTCCTACAATAAGAATGTCAACCTAGAGTCTCTAGAGGGAATATACCTTTGCTTTCCTGTTTGAGAAACCTCAGCAATAACATTTATCAAATTCCTGCAAGTCCAATAATAAAGTTTAATGAGAGTAAGGCTGTAATGCCTCCATTCTTTAAAAAACATGCATAGTAAAAGTACATGTAAAAATAACATAAAAAGTTGGGCCCAAAGGTTTCTTTTATTGAACATATGTATTCTTTATACAAATATATATAAGATTTGTATCATATGCAAAACTATCAAAATAGGGTGGACAGTGTAGCCATTTCTCTTCGTGTGCCGATGTCCATCCGACTGTGTCTTCATCTAGAACCTGCAAAAACATAGGGAGCAACTGGATGAGCACAAAACAATGCTTAGTAAGTAAACCCATTTACTCAAATATCCCCGTAACTCTCTCTCTAATTCTTTCCCTACCATTTCTATTGACTCTTTCTCTTATACAACTGTCTATTTTCTCTTTCTCATAACTCTTTTATACTAATTCTCTTTCTAGTAAGTCACGGCCTCATCTGACCGGAGGCACGGCTGGGACTCGCTCCCACTCCTTGTGACTTCTACTCATTCTAGCCGATCGGACTTGGTTATTCATGGATTCGGAACCTTTGGCCATGTGAGTGCATAGAATCTCTCGGGTAAACTCGGGTATAGCCCTCATCCGCATGCACTCTACGGGCTACACCACTTCTCTCTCTGATACTCTTGCCGCTCTCTCTATGCGGCGTACATGCGGGAATACTCTACCCGTACTCACAGGTTCTCCATCGCATAACCTACTATATTCTCTTATTAAGCACTACTCTAGCTTTTACTCTATAGTGCTCATTCTCTCTTTCTCTTTACTCTTAGAGTAGTCTAAACTCAAAAGTCTCTACTCTTTCTCTACTCTCTTTTTTAGTGCATAAATAAAGCATAGTTAATGCACATAATTGACTCATACTCATTAATGCATTTATGAAATGCAACTGTGACATGTAGCAACAATTAGGGCTTCCTACTCTTACTTATGCTTCTCTTGAGCATTTCATCATACAACTCATGTGCATAAAAACTCTACTCTAACTCTAACTTTTCTCTTTTCTTTAATCAACCAAATGGGAGAAAACTCCTTCCATAAGCTTGCTCAAAACTTCCTCCAACTTCTATCAAACTCAACCCAACATCAAGCAAATAAAACACTTCCCATAACTCAATTTATGTGTATCACTCAATCATAACTACTAATCTCATTCAACAATTTAATGAGTACACATATATATAACTCTACTCAANAAAATCAACAAATTGCCATTAAATAGTCATCTGAAAACTCCAAATTCCCATATGGAACTAAATGGTTAAGAGGAAGCATTTAGAATGAAGGTCATCATCAAGCACATAAATCTATACACAAACCTCTTCAAGAAAGAGAAAACAAGATTAGGATGAGTCCACCCGACTTCTTAGAAATAGAATTGTCTCCTCTGTAAGTGTCCAAAGAGATAAGTCCGCTGTGCCCACTACAGAGTTCTCTGTCTACTTCGGGAGTCCATTCTTACTCATAGAAAATTACCTGAAGCAAAAATTAAAACTAAAAAATTGTCATTTAAATTAAAAAAGAAAGAATATTATGTTTCATACAACATTGGAGCTCAAAAACGAAAAATTGCTTTAAAAAAGCATCATTTCCATGAACTTAAAAATTGAACCTCCTTGTAGTTGATGGCGCACTAAAATTTCTTATAGGAGCAAAATGCTTCTCAGCCTTAATTGATCCACGAAGACACTCAAAGGAATCTTGTCATAACTCTAGAAAATCCTCCATGGCATATGAGAAGCAAAAACTATAATTGTCAAAATCAAATGGTTTAAGCAATCAACGTGAAGACATTTTATTACTGCATAGGATACTTCACTCCCCATTTGTATGGTCAACCGTAATTGTCATTATAATGAATTAAAAAAAAAAAAAAAAGCTTTTTTGCACAGAAAAGAAGAAAGAAAAGAGCTGGATAGATAAAAAATGAGAAATAACAATAGAAAAAAATAGAAAACATAGAAACATTCTTATCATTAAAATCAAACATTCAAGGGAGACGAGAATTTTCCAAGTGAATAATCCAATATATTTCCCCCAAAATAACTACTAACTATGATCCAGAAGTAGTAGATAAAAACAAAACAAAATGAATTTCGTGTATGACAATTCTCTACACGAACACTTCATTTAGCCAAACTTCCAGATCTGAGGTGAGAACTTAAGGTAAAGCCTTACACCATAAAACTCTCAAGTCACCTTAACTCTTTTGTCCGGTCAGTTCTTTGTCTCCTTTTGAGTAATTTGGGAACTAGGTTACAAGGAGAAGATTCAAACTCCTAGAAGAACATGAATGATTGCCTATGTATAAGAATCACCAATGTGTACATTTGATACGTATTCTTATATTTACTTGCTTCTTTGTCATCTAAAAAGAAACTTATTTTTGTTACTGCCATATCTTGAACTTTCTATTTCCTAAACCATGGTACTGTATTCGCCAAAAACACCTCCTTCTTTTATGTTCAAACACTTAATAAATTTGTAGTGTACTCTATTCACATGCCAGAAAAAGAAAAAGAAAAACAAATAGAGTTGCCAAGCATTACATGCAGTAAACCCTTAAAATAAATTCAAGCACCAGGAAAGATTCCTATATGTTGGGTGTACCTATTAGGTCATAGTCAATGTAACATGGAATTAAATTTGTCAAGCAAAGAAACACTATAACGACAAGGAAAATGAATATATACATGTTCGTACTAGCCAAGGAATCGTACAACATTTCTTTTATAGGCATTCTCTAGAAAGTCTCAAATGCTAGGAACCCACCTTAAGCATCCTCACTATGCGTTCCAAGAAGAAAAAACGAAGCAAACCTTTATCAGTAGTTGTGTGACATCCTTCATTGTGCATATATACTCCTCTGTCAAATTTTCAACATAAACACCAGATTTGACATCTTCTCTTATCTGGAAGGAGAAGCAAAACAGGGTCAAGGAAAACTGAATTTATGTAGGTCTTTTACTGGATGTGAGTGCTTCTGTTACCTGAAGATTTCTTTGGCTTGGATCCAACAAATCTGTGATTTGTTCATTGTAAATCTGCAATAATATGTGGATATATTAGGACATGCAACATTAAATTTCACAAGACCAAAAGGGATACTGTCCAGTCACAAAACCTGAAGAAAAGAACAACGACATTTCTCTCTCTCTTCTAATACAAAACAAAAGAAAGAAACTCAACAATTTCTCGCTTTTCCACTCAGTAAAAAAACAGAAGCTTTAAAATTTACATTTTCTCAAGCTTGAGTCACTTTTTCCCCAAATTCTGTCAAAATACAAAAAAGATAATATCAAATAACCACTGAAAAGAAGAAGATCAAAACAATTACTTGAACACCCGAGTCGGGGACCCCAACCATTACGTTCTCGGGAAGTGTATGAGTGGCGAGCTTGCGCTTGAGTGGATTGGGCGGGCGTGGGGGCAGCGGACTCTTAATTTTGGAAGATGCCAGAGAAGGTGGAAGAAGTGAGTTCAGATAATCTGGCCTTTTAAAAAATTCTATCATAAATAAAAATATTAATTATAGGTTTTTTGTGCAGTAAAACTTAATCAGCTCCAAACTACAGCTTGCTGTGAAAGAACTCTACCTTTGTGATTCAGTAAAGAAATACATAAATTTGAGACAGAAAAAACAAACGTAAGTTGTCTAAACAAATGTAGAATTTATCAAACTCGATAAAATCTAGATTGTAATAGAGATAATTTTCTCTTCTTGAAGGCAGCACAAATAGTCAGATATTGATAAAATACCCAAACAGTCAAACTAATGCTAGCTCTTGCTATTTTCAATTATGAAAGTACACTCACCTGACAATCATAGTATTTCAAAAACATAGTCTGCAATGTTTTCTTCCACCAAAACTTGGATCAGTTTGCCCAGAGCACCTTCCGAGGACAAAAAATGGAAGATCAAATCTAATGTGTTGAATTGGACTTGGCTGTCAGACGAAAGCAGTGGGCCTTTGATGGCCTCAGCAAATAAAACATTCAAGGAAGGACGACCTTCTCCATCTTCTGTTATTTTCATGGAGTTATCTCCCTCATCCAAACTCATGCTACATATGTCATTGGCATATGCATTTACGAAAAATCCTTTCTCAGCCAGGATCATCTGAAGTGCTAGGCAAATATAATCAAAAAATGTTCATTGTGAGAAGACAACATTGATGATACTCTGGAGATGAGTATCTAGATGACTGTATATATCCATGCTATGTCACCATGAATGCTACTCAGCCTTATGGATTGATTCAAAATTAAAGCATGAAGTCTCTTGAATTCAGCATAATTTTCTGAGAGTTCTAGACATTTTATGACTGTTTGGGGACATTTCCTGGGCAACTCATGGAGTGGTTATCCTAAAACACTTGCTTATGGACAAAATTATGCAGTTTTTAAGTTTGGAAGGTTAAATATTGATTACAGATGCTACAGGGAACTTCATCTTCCCAGTGAAGTAATGGTGGCATACTACAATCATGTTTACATGTGATTAATACAGTTTCTGCCTCTGCATGCCACCATTTGTTACTTCTAGTAAAGAGTTGAAATGAAGAACTTAACTAGAAATATCTCTTACCATCGAACTTTGAATCTTGCTCTCCTCCAACAGAAAAATCACAAAAAGATATACAACTATCTCTTGTCCACCTAGACTTTTGTTGTAATCTTAAAAACACCCATATGATTCTAAAATTATCTATGACTTTTTCTAAAATTATTATTACTGACCTTTGCTGAGGTTTGCTTAAATATCGCTAAACTCCTCCTAAAGACTAAAACTGTTGGGAGTTCAAAAATAATTTTAGAACCATAAGTGCGTACTTGGGATTACACCCTGGGTTAGGAAAGGTCAAAAGATAACATTACCAAGTAGAATAAATAGAATTTGCTACAAAGAAAAAATAAAAAAGGCCTTAGAGAATGTGAGAGACCTATACAATTGAGGCAAACATCATCATCTCGAGTTTTCATCAAAGCCTTCAATGAAAGATGCAAAAGCTTAGGATAGTGAGCAAAAAGAACATCAGCTTCATCACTATTCATGGATTCGCATTGGAGGATGGATACTTTCTACAAAACAAAAAGGATATCTCCACTGATTTCCTCACTGTACTTCGAGAAACAAATAGGTCTTAGCTTACAATAGGGTTGATGCATTCAAGATAAATCTTATTACCTTGGCAAATGAAGGCCTGTAACAAGATTGGAGGTGAGGGCATCTCTGTCTTTAATGAGGACATAGGAATTATTTGTTGGACTATTTAAGAGAACCCCAAAGCAGTGAGGCTGCACTTACAAAGACCACAAAATGAAAAGGATTAAAAAAAAAAATTGTGAAGTCTTCAAGAACATTACTAGAAGATGAAAACCTTGCTTTAAACAAATGAGCAACCGCTTTTTTTTTTTTTTAAATTGTCATACAATTACTCTAAGCATTGCAACCTTGTATATTCCTAATCTTGGACTACATGTAAAGATAATTAAGGTCTAACTGATGTACTCACGTGTCTTTAAACTTCTGAGGTTCATTTTCCTAAGGCCATTCAAAATATTTAATCAGCATAAAAAAAGGGTCATCATAAGTGCTTCCAGTATATAAGGCTTAAGAATTATGTTTATCTCAACTATACATATTCTACCAAACAGAAGATATAGAAATCACGGTATTTTAGAAATTAGTTTTGGTGCTCTCTACGTTGATTGGGAAGAAGGTTGAGCTGTGTATTTAATTCTTATCGTAACAATTATATGACCAAATAAGCAACTAAAGCTTCTGCTCTCAAAGAAGAAAATCAAGTTTGACTGAATCAACCTATTCTACAACAAAACTAATTATGCTTTGCTAGCTAGCTGGAAAAATTCAGCAAAATAAGAATAATATACAGTAAATTATAGTTTCTGAATTTTCTCAGCAACCAAACACAAATTCATACGATAAGTAACGACTTTGTCCCACCCAAATGATAGTTTGATGTCACTTTCTCACCCACAGACTTTTAAAATACCACTTTACTACCCAGATTTATATTCCAATGGCGCACAAAGAACAAACTCAGTCTAGGCTATTAGGGATTTTGAAGAGGGAAGGTCAATGAGTCTTTGGGTAGTTGGGATTGATCAGAATTTGACTTGGGAGGGGTTGTTGTGCAAACCCTAATTGTTTGATTGCCGAGAATTGGCAAGGTCCAAGGGAGTAGAGTTTGAAGGGTTTTGGTGAGTGATGATAGACGAAGATAATGGTGGTGGTGTGGGGTCACAGCAATGCCGAAATCGGAAACGGAATATAAATTTGGGTAGTAAATTGGTATTTTAAAAGTGTGTGGATGGAAAAGTGTCATTAAACCATTATTTGGGTGGAAAAAAGTGGTTTACAGGTTCCCAATGAGTAAACAATTATAGAGAGACTAGAGCGATGATAATGGATACTTTCATCACTATATTTGCACAAACATTGACTCAGATGATGAGACATTTTTTGATAGAGTGGTCAATATATTGTTGGTGGATAGTTTGATTGCTTTAGAGGTTGGCTAGGTGTTTGAAACTGCTAATGTCTTCAAGGATGTATTGTATTACTTTGCAATTCAAAGGCTAAAGTCGTTTTCTTCTGTGTAGCCCCATCATGATTCATGCCTCTTCTTCATGTCATGGATGATTACATATCAGATTATATCTTTTAATACCCCTCACATATGTATCCCAGATTTGTCCACGGCTCAGATCAAGCTCATTAGATAGGTAGGAAGTTCTTATAAATGATAGACGATAATCCTAAGGTTGATGAGTCAATTTTAGAATAGGCTATTAAGATTAAAAAAAAAAAAAAAAAAAAAAAAACAGGAAGAGATTGTTATACTAATATGGTTTACAGAGCTGAAAACAAGACAACAACATTACTAGGACATGACATGATGTTAGTTATTAGTTATCACAAACTATATAGTTATGCCAGTGTCTTGCAACTTAGGAACCTTAAGGAATACATTAAGGTTAAACCTATTGGTACAAAGTTCCAAAGAATGTTTGTCAGTTTTCCAGTCCAAAAAGATGGTTTTTCTAAATGGTTGCAGATCGTTCTTTGGGCTAGAAGAGGCACACTTGAAAGGCTCTGTAACGCCCCACTTGAGGTACGTAGTTATTGTTTCTTCTTTTGCTCTTATTTGAGTTCGTTTCTTGGTAATATTGTTTGGTTGACCTTTGATTGAGTGTTATGTTGAATACTTGCCCTGAAATTGGTTGAAAATAGAAGAAGTTCAGTGTTCCAAGCTTCACCGGGGCGAAGAAGAATCTTCGCCGCGGCGAAGAGGTGTTGAAGCCACGGGAAGCTGCTGGACAGTTTCGCCGCGACGACAGAAGCTTCCTCGCCGCGGCGACAGGTCGACCAAAATGTTTGTTAAGTTTTAGATATTTTCTTCCCTAAGGGCAATTTGACCATTCTACCCCTAATTAGCAGGAAAAGTGGGGAGTAAAATGTAAGGAATTTTCATGGAGAATATGTTGCTATGGGGGTGTGTTTGTAATGAATCAAAGGATATAGATAGAATTCCCAAAGAAGAGTAAGGGCAAAATGGGAATGCTTGTGTATAAATTTCATTAAAAGGAATTAAGTCATTGCAAACCCTTCATTCTTCTTCTCCATCGCCACTCTCCTCTCTTGCTTCCTCTCAAATTCTCTTTCTTTTGATCAAGGAGTTTTAAAGGGCTTTTGGAGTGATTTGGGGTAGAAAATCAACCTAAGGCATCCTAAGGTAAGGATTCTTGCTTTGGTTGTGAAGCTTTGTGAGTTTTTGTATATATTGAATATTAAGGGTTTTTGTTCTTTTGTTTAAGAGTAGAGAAAAAGTCAAGCAAACCAAGTGAAAGGAAGAGTTAGTGAAATCTCTCCATAACAAGGTAAGTAAACCCCAACCCAAGTTGAGATTTGGGAATTTTCTTGATTAGGGTTTTGATAGCACTTATGTATGTATGTTATATACATGTTATATGCCATGTTATTGAGGCTTAAATAGAGATTTCTAGTGCTTTGTGATTGTTTATACATTGCAAATATAAGAAGTGAGATGTGGGTTGGAAAGGTAGTTTGAGATGGAATTGAAGGGTATTGAGGAATCCTTTTGGAAGTGTCTTTCTTTGGCAGGATATGTGGCTATGTGAGGGGGTTTCTCCCCATTTTGGATGGTTAGAGAAAGATTTAGAATTATTGTTATAGTAGAGTTTTATTATGCACTTGAGTTGTTTGATGAAATGCCTAATAGAGGTTTGAGTATGAGTAGTGAACCTTAATTCTTGCAACATTGCATGTTGGCATTTCATAAGTGCATTAGTGGAGATGAACCATCCATAGGCATTAATTGTGCATTGAGAAGTGACCTAAGAAAGAGTAGGAAACTTTGTGTATGCACTTGCTCTATGAGTAGAGAACTTTGTGGATGCAACTACTCTAAGGGTAGAGAGAATGAGAAGTGCTAGAATAGAGTGAATGAGAAGAGTATTAGAAATGGGTGGATGCTTTGTGATCATCACCCGACAGTTATGAGAATCGGGTTGATGCTTTGTGATCACCACCCGAATAGCCATTAGAAATGGGTTGATGCTTTGTGATCATCACCCGATAGGTATTAGAAACGGGTGGATGCTTTGTGACCATCACCCGGTTAGTTATTAGAAAAGGGGTTGATGCTTTGTGATCATCACCCGATATTTATTAGAAATGGGTTGATGCTTTGTGATCATCACCCGACAGTTATGAGAATCGGGTTGATGCTTTGTGATCACCACCCGAATAGCCATTAGAAATGGGTTGATGCTTTGTGATCATCACCCGATAGGTATTAGAAACGGGTGGATGCTTTGTGACCATCACCCGGTTAGTTATTAGAAAAGGGGTTGATGCTTTGTGATCATCACCCGATATTTATTAGAAATGGGTTGATGCTTTGTGATCATCACCCGACAGTGATTAGGAACGGGTTAATGCTTGGTGATCGTTACCCGAAAGTCATGAGGAACGGGTAGGTGCTATGTGGTCTCCACCCGATAGTTACGAAAACCGGGTAGGTGCTTCGTGATCCCCACTCGGTAGTCACTAAGAACGGGTTGGTGCTGTGTGAATTCCACCCGATAGTCATGAAGAGTGAGATGGTGCTGTGTGAACGCCATCCGGCCGTACCTCCGGTAAGATGAGGCCATGACGTTTAGTAGGAAACAACAGAAAGTGTGAGGAAAGAATTAAGAGTAATACATACGGGGATAGACAGATAGAGGGTTTTACTTACTGAGCATTATTTTGTGCTCACCCCGTTATTTTCCTTTATGGATGCAGGATCTAGGTGATGATGCAGTCGGAGGGGCGTCGGTAAGCGAGGAGCAATAGCTACACTGTTTCCCCTATTTTGTCTTTTAAAAATGGCATTTTTGTAAATGACGTTCTTAGTGTATAAAAGACGTATGACTTATAATACAAAGGAAAAGTTTTGGGCCCATTTTCTATTGTTATTATGCATGCATTGTACTAGTTTACAGCAGTTGTTACAGGCTCATATAGTAAATGTACCCTATCAACTGTCTTTATTGATGTTGATAATGAACTTTACGTTGGTTGTTTGTATATGTGAAGGAGAGAATGAGGAATCATGGTGTTGGTTCTTAGAGCATTTGCTTCGTTGAAACAAGGACACTGATATTTATGTTAAATACAGAAAATGTGTCATAAATGAATTAGCAATTCAACATCCTCATGCCAGTATTACGTACTGTGTTATGTACCACACACTCGAATTCGGAAACTTGTTATGCGGTAATGCTAGAACCACGAACGAGTACAATTATACGGCCGCAATAGGTCATATAAGGACAACAACATGGGTGCATACAATTACTTTATGAAAAGTATCTACTAAACACTAGAGTAGGCATATGTTTTCAATTGAAAATGCAAAAGTGACCATATCACCAACAATCTGAGTTAGTCCTAGAATGTTGTACTAGATACTATGAGAACTTTAACCATTACCAAACTCCTTAATTTCATTAGTTTATAAGTG